GATGATGACTTCTTTTCTTTTTAGGAAACTTACCAAGGGAAGCAGCGCAGCCTCGCTGCTGCTGTACAGCATATGGCAAGACAAGAATTTGCAAAGCGCTGTGAAAAAGGTAAATTAGAAAAGGGAGAAATGGGCTAATGGTACAGCTGAGGTGACGTTTCTGTGATGTGCTTATTGTCTTTGCATTTCATGCTAGTTCATGCTCAAACGTCCTTGCTGGGAGGGCCCAGCTTTACTGGTGGACAAATGCATGGGTGTTTATCATGACTCCTCAGGCTCTTCACTTTCCCTTCCCTTGTGCCACACCCAAAACATCAGTGAATGAAGAAACATTAGACTGGAATCCTGGTAGACTTGTTTTCAGTGCTCACGGTTTCATACGGGAGGAGTAATCCTTGGAAAATTGGGGCTGTCGCCCCCACAGTAAAAGCCTGAGGTGGAGGATCGAAGGAATATGAGACATTTTCTTTAGATTCATGCACGAGTAAAAAGCAAAGCAGCTACGTTCACCTTATTAACACTATCAGCACCATTTCTGTTAAAGGTTAATGCGTCACTAGTAAAGAAACAAACGTGACAGATGAGTAGAAAACATTTTTCACCTCGCCGCTCTAAGTTCAGAGGGCTTCACGATTACACCACACGTGTTTGTGGACGATTGCATCTCTGCAACATCTTTAACCGATGGAATCTATTTAACCACAGATGGGGTTGACCAAATCAGCCTTCATCAACGACAACATAACCCATGTGGTGTCGCAGCTCGAAGGACAGTGATCGGGCGGGATCGGCAGCAGTAACCGTAAAAGGTACGATTCCAGTTTGAGTGGCTGTTTTTACGTTTTTCAGACCAGTTGGGATCAAAGCAATACGAAATCTGAAGATGTCTTTTTTTCTCTTTGCCACTCGCTTTTCTTTCCTTTCATTTCGCCTGTGTGCTTGTGCCCGTGCTTGCAGATAGAAACCGACGTGTTCAGACACTGCTGTTGCCACACCCTTTCAACGAGGACAACAAAAAAGAGAGAAAAATGATGCTTTTTATTAATACCATCTGCATAGAGCCTGACAATTGCTGTTCATTGATTGATGTACATATTATAAAGGAAAGAGTGCTTTTGATTTTACAATTAATCCTGTGGTCTGTGTGTTTGGAAATGTTTGCCTGTTTCTACGTAGGTAGGCTGAGAGTGCTTTTAAGACGTGTGTGTAG